ACAAGATTCATTTTACATTATATTTGCTGAACGAACAAAACGATTTTTCTGTGCGCTTTTTTCGTACTCTTCGATCGCAAGATTACTACATACATATGTGTATATATATATATATATATATATATATTGATTATTTTTATATGCGTTAAATATTAAAAGACGTTCTTATTTTTGCTGTATGTTACAGAAAACTTGGCGCCATCCGAATTGAAGAAACTAAGAAACAAACAGAGGAAACAGCGCAGAAAGGCTGAACTCGAACGACAGCAAGCCGCCCAGGCTCAAGAAAAAAGAGAGCAACATAACAAATCTCGGCAGCAGAATGACTCTGATCTTGAGCAGCCCACATTAGACGAATTAATTCCGGAAAAACTGGAAAGGGTTAGTTTAAATAGTGAGATGATAGAAGAATGTTGTCTTTTAAATCATTTTGCCTTATCATTTAAAGCGGTGACATTGAGATATTTTTTATGCTAAATATAAAAGACATAAAAGAGTACACCAATCACAAAATTTAAAAAATTCTTGTTCTGATCTTGGTAACGTTATGCAAAGTAAAATTGATAAAATCAGTAAATAGATCTTTTTAAACCTTACAACTTTTATTTGAAACATTTTTTTATAAAATTTATATCTTTCGAGATATTCTGGGGTCTCGACCTTTTAAATATCTCGTATAATTTCTTTAACAGTAATTAAACATATTTTTTCAGGTTGAAGATCCACTGGAACAAGCGATAAAGTTTTTACAGCCCCTGCAGGAATTGGCGTCGAATCGGATAGAGACGCATCTCATGGCTTTCGAGATATATATTCGGAAAGGTACTAGAAATATATTTAGCATATAGAAATATATAGCGCACACACATCCATACAAATCAAGTTGCAATTGATGAAAATTATTTTATGAGACTGACTAACAATAAGTTGACGCGAAATAATAAATATCTGTTTCTCTTACAGGTCGTACTCTTCTCATGCTACGCTCGATAAAACGCGCTCATAGGTTGGACGTGAATAATCCAGACCTACATACGTGTTTAGTGCGTTTTCTGTTACACACCAGTAAGTCACCGTTGGAAGGAGCAGTAGGCGAGGTAGTGAAGCGTCAGACCGCCGGAATCTTTTCCAGTACGAAGGCAGCTCAACTAAATGCCGAGTACTTGAAGAAGAACAGGAATTCATTGCCGCATCTGTTGCAAGGCGCAAGGATGCTGTACGTCCTGGACCCGTCCGCGCAGACGAAGGCGCTATCCCTTGTGACAAGCATCGAGGAACTCGAAGGCGTGACACTACAGAACTGCACAAAGGTGCTTGATGCATTGCGCAATAGCGACTTCGGACACTGTGACGATACGATAGCCGATTATATGACGAAATGCCACGTGCGGTTTCCATTCGCTACCGCGTTTCGGCCGCCCGAACCGAAAACCAACAATCATCAAGAGAAAGAGAATTCAATCAAAAACTGATCCAGGTACGCGCTATTGCAGCGTCACTGAATCTATTATCGTAATTAGACAAGTCCATGGAGAGCCGGGATACAGAAACGTTCTTCTGATCTGCGCTAGAGGACGTTAAAAATCACGTTTTTGGTGCCGTGGTAAAGAAACGAAACGAAATTGGCAAGATAATTAATTGAGTAAAGCATGTGTTATATACGAACTGTTCTTCGAGAATATTTCACGTAGTGCGAACAGTGCTGAGACAATGCTGGATAAAAACAATCCTAATAAATTATAATGCAACGAGGTGCGGACCACCTATAGATTCTGGAACGTGGTCCAAGAATTTTACAGGAAGGAAAATAATGAGAAAAAAGAGAGGACGACTTAGATAAATATTAGTTAACAATCGAGATCGATTAATTTGACACGTTCCGCTTATCGTGAACAGCGACGCTAAATACGAGAGGTGGGATGAGGATCGGGGATGGGAGGGGAATAATCGACGAAAGTGCGGACTGTTTTGTGGTACGGGACGTGCAGTGTGTAAAATAACACGTATGAGACTAACACATTGGTACAAAAAGACAAGACTTGTATACATACATACGCGCGCTCTAAAGCGAATATTTCTACTCGACTTAAGGTGTACAATTTCCAGCGATGCCTACATAATACTCTACTATGTAGAGGCTGCAAAACGCTAGATGATCATCGAAGCACCAAGTACTGTACCGTGCATGTCCGTCGTCGCATTTTGGATGGACTCCGTTCCCACATCGTGTACTAACTTCTGGTTCGCCTCATCCGTGAACTGTTGATTTCAATGAACAAAATGATTCTAACGCTTTTCTTTCTAGACACATTTTATTTCTGCGTTTTTTGCCCAGGGTAATGATCTACGTTTGGATTGGAGCCCTGATATTCCATCGAGAAGTCAATAAGGAAGTAGTGTCCGTTTGCGAAAGTCTCTGTGAAAGTTACTATAGGAACGATAAACTGCGTTTTGTATACGCAAACTACCAAAGTATATCATAAATCGAAAGGCCGTTAGTGTGTTAATAGCGAATATCATCGTACGTATGTACATCGACGGATTGCGGAAATTTTAATAAATACAAGGTTTTTAAAAGCCTACCGGTACAAGTCAAAGGATGTTATAATTACCTCGTTTGAATTCCGAAAATAACGCTGCATATTTATAAGTTTTCAGTTTTCCCGTAAAAAATTTTTTTCGATACGAGATGACATAGATACTATCGAGCTATTAAATAATATTTGTACATATTTCAGGTACTATATCAATAAGTGTATAATGTCTTACGACTTTCTTTCGAATGAGCGACAAATGAGTTCGCCGCCGATCAATATTGAATGTTTATCACCTACTCAAACACGTCATAACAATAATCATAAACATATAGTAGATATCTACGTTTTTGATTGTATTAGTTATAATATATATTTACCTCTTCAATCATCCGCGTAAAATATATTATCACAAAATGACGAGTGGTGAGTCGATGGAATAATTTAACAAAGTAAGATCGGTTGTCCTCAAATCATTTTTTTATTATTCCTTCCGTAAATGCATGGAAATACTTTCTCGAAATTATAGAATTGTGAGATTAAGAAAAAATTTAATGTAATCGCTTTTGTTTGATTGAGATGAAATTACTCTAGAGCTGATAGAGAAGAAACCGGTAAATATTTAGGTTGACTCCTAAAACAATATGAACTATTACATTATTGTGTATATTTCTATTTAATTTATTAAAAGCAATTATTCGATTTCACGACCTACTGAAGAATCTACTGAAGAATCTAATATGGTTGAATTTTTTACTTTTCATTTGAATATCTTTTCTATAAAAGTATGAATGAACTCTGTACGTAATTTTCATGTGTTCATGAAAAAGTTCACATATTAATTGCTCCAATCTTTATCGGAGGTTATTACCTCGATGTAAAAACTTTTATCACGCGCATATATAGACAGACATCAAAAAGATAGAAAATAAATAATGCTAATTGCGAGTTGCATTCAAATTTATCGAGAACTGAATCTAGATTCGCCTTTCAATCCCCAACACGATATTGCACGACAAACTAGCTTGGGTTTTTCTCTAAACCATATCTTCTTCCATTTCTGAATATAATTGGAATTCATCACATAGAATTAATATAATTCTATTCTAAAGAAATATCTTTTGTAATTAAATAATTTTGTGTACATATGATTTGAACACTACTATGATATAATCAAATTTTTGGCATTTTATGTTACTTCACAGTAATTACAAATATCTACGAATTTTCAGATTTCTATTAATATTTTACTTTAAAGATGATGTAATTATTGTAATGATTAATGTGAATAGTTGTAACAATTCACTTGCTCACTCTAACGTATGTCAAACATATAACGAAAGTGAAAGAGTATTCATGTGAATCGTAATGCCAATATTTTGTTTCGATAAGCGACATTCTAAATTTAATTTATTGATTTATATTAATACGATGCATAGTATTCTATGCTATAATCTCAATTTTCTACAATATGTAAAATAACTTCTATATGATGAATTCAAATTCCGCAATGTATAATCATGCTCATTGTCTCTAACGATCCTCACATATTCATAACTGAGGAAATAAGTGAAATAGCATTTTAATTGAATGAATTTGAATATGTATAGTATGTACATAAAACACGTATTAACACACGCGCATATACATATATATATGTATCAAACGTCTTTATTGTTTAATTGTTTCCTTTTATTATTATATTGCATCATCATGGAAACATTATATCATGTAAAACTGGTCTACCTTTACTCCGCTTAATTCGAAGAGAAAATAAACATTGTTACATATTTCTATTATGCCATAAGAACATTGTGTCACTGTTTACATTTGTACAGCTGATAACACGCATAAACAGAGAGTTGTGTCATATACTTAAATCTATCTTAGTCTTACTGCAATTGTTTTGCTTTCTGTACATTGTTTTATTTATTTTTTTCACATCACTTGGTTAATCAATATCAGAAAACGGGATTGTCACATGAAGATTGAGGAAAGAGGCAGGTTTGCTTTGCCTGCATTTGTACCTACTCTTAATTAATACTTTTATATGTAAATATTAGTGTCTCTCTGAACTTCCAAAAAACAAAAAACCAAAATCAATATCCAACAATACAATCATAAGTTGTATTTTCACGTACTATCTGATGGTTAATATTATTTGAAAAGGATTCATTCTATGAAATGTCAAGTGAAAAAATAAATAAATGAATAGAAACACATGAAAAGAGACAACAATTATTTTATTGCTATCACAATGATAGAAACAAAATACCTCTCAATTTTTATTAACTTATTAATTATTTTCTGCTAAATAGATATTTTTATATATACTTAATATTCTTTTAAGATATTTACTCTATAAAAAAATAATAAATAAGATACACACGCATCCATTATCAAATCAAATTTATTCATGTAAGATACAACAATAGTGATCAACATAATGATATTAATTCTCATTTTTTAATCTTCTTGTTTGGTCGGAGTTTGCGGTAATTGGTTCATCTCAGTCCAGTTAATATCGCTGAAATTAATTTCTATTTTTTGATTCTTTGGGATGTACTGCCTAAAACGAAATTTAAAAAGATATGCCGTAAGATCTTTGTTATCGCAGTGATAAATTGATGCAGCAATTTCAAAGAATAAGCACCTATACATTACACCCGTAGCCTCAAACATTCTTTTCGCGGCTATTGTTTCGACTTTATGAGCGTATTTGTCGGACATGTAAATCACAGTTTTTATGCCGGACTGTATTATTACTTTCGCGCACTGGTTGCACGGAAATAAAGCAACATATATTGTGCAGTCTTTAACGTTGCTCGAATTTTTGTTTAGAACCGCATTAACTTCCGCATGACACACTACAACCCAACGCCAATAGATTGATTAGTGCTTTTGATAACGAAATAATCCTAGACAACACACACAAAGTTTAAAATTGGGATATAAGATGTCTTAGAAATATTTTAAAAACATTTTTGCGAGAATCGTCTAAAAAATGTCACATGTCCCGATTTTAGACTTCGTGTTGTCTATGGGAATTCACTGTTTCATACATTTGTAAAAAAATTGTTTATTATATGTATTGTACCATAAAGATATTTCGATTCTAAACTAGTATGGGGACCCCTTTTCCAAGGGAACTCATCATCACTACATCCTGTGGGCATCCCATTATATCCGATACCAACGATTCTCTTGTCATTATTAACGATACATGCACCGACCTGGGTGCAAGGATCTTTGCTCCGTTTAGCAGAAAGGAATGCAATGGCCATGAAATATTCGTCCCAATCAATGTACGTCATTCTTTTAGAACTGTCTCTATATTGATAAAACCAATAATAATCGAATTATGAATACATTCATCTAAATATATCTATTCCTATATTATATACTTATTACAGGAATAAATATATTTTTGTATTAGAATAAAAATATACCGTTCGCATAATGTTCCAGCCATTGTCAGTTAAGCCTTTATTTAAATTTCTCACAAGAGCACAGATCAGGTATTAAATATTTTTTTATTATTATCTAAATATCGTTAGACAGATATAACAGGCCTTTGAAAAAAAACTTAACCTATACGTAGAAAACCAGAACAGAAATGTGGAGAATTCCCGCCAGTTGTCATCTAAACTGATGAGAATCACACATAAGATATAAAGACTCCAAAGGACCGGTTGAACACGTTCGAGCCGGTAAAGTAGCTAATCTACTTGCTGAGCAAACGCTGCGTGGATAAGTATAATTAAAATAATTATAATCCATGTATATTTTGCTATGCGAGTTTGTATTATGCTTTCAAAATAATATAAACATATATAAACTACAATGTTTGTCTCGCAACAGAAATTATATATTAACATTTATCCATTTATCTAACAAACGTGGACGTAATTTGAAATAAATTAAATTGCTAATTAAAAAAACAAAGTAAAAATTAAAAAACAAATATACTAACATAAATTAGCAAAATATAGGCTAAAGTAGCTAGCAACATTATTCATGTCAACAAGCCGGTTAACCGAGACAGAGCACACAATATTTGTAAAATATTTATAAGATTTATTTTAAATATTTTGTAAATTTTTTTTGTGAGCTAGGATTGCACAGACCATAAACATTTATTATAAATATTATAAAATATTCATTGTAAATGTTATGAAAATACTTAATAAGACATTATAATCCAAGTAAAAAATACTTATTAGAAATATTTATTTATATTTATCATAAATATTACATAAAATATATTTAGTCTATATTTTAATATTTCGAATAAAGCTTTATATAAAATATATATGAAATATCTATATAACATTGCAAAAAAAGAATATTAATAAATATTTATCATAAATATTCTATGCTGTCTGGGAACTACTTTGTTGACTTGAACGAATCCATGTTATCATTTAATTCTTAAGGGGATCTTAAAGCAAAGCTCCGACGAAATCACTAGATGTCGCGCCGCGCGCCGCACATCGATGTCTTTTTATACTACCACAGCAATATCTCACACAACTATGGCTGAGTTTGATTTGGATGTTTTCAGCGTTTTCAACATTTCTATCTTTATTTTGCATTTAATGAACGATAAAGACAGAATGATGATTATAAGCGCTTAAAGCGTGTGAGCGTCTAAATCAAATCCAGCTTATGATATGATCCCTTAAGGGGATGCTGGAGTGACCAAATTGTCGGGATTTTGCAGATCGATATAAATCTCCGAATTTACTGAACGGAATCAAAAATCCTTTTACTGGATTGAAGTAGACGCAAAATTTGGGAGTGCTGCAATAGACTTTGTACTAAAATCGAAAAGTTAAAAACTTTTATAGCTCGTATGAACCAAACGATAGTGCAGCGCACAGCGTATTACATGCACAAACAATATACTGAGTTTACGAAACTAAGATTAAAAGCTTCAAAAGAAAGATTTATATCGATCTGTAAACGACGTGTACGAATGCTGAGCGAAGACTTGAAATGGTAAACAAAACAATAATTGTGTCTAGCACTATTATAAAATTTGGAATTAACAAAGGTCTGTATTTAAAAGATCGATCCCAACTAATAAGTCCGTCTGTTGATCCCGCATCCCCTTAGTCTTCTTTGTCGAAGGTTGTGATAATTGATCATCAATCCAGTCAATATCGCTGAAATTCATCTCAGTCGAGTTAATATCGTTGAAATTAATTTCTATTTTTTGATTCTTTGGGATGTACTGCCTAAAATGAAATTTAAGAAAATATGCCGCAAAATCTTTGCTATCATAGAAATAAATTGATGCAACAATTTCGAAGAATAAGCACCTGTACGTTACACCCGCAGCATCAAACATTCTTTTTGCGGCTTTTGTCTCGACTTTATGAGCATGTTTGTCGGACACATAAATAACAGTTTTTATGCCGGACTGTATTATTATTTGTGCGCACTTGTTGCACGGAAATAAAGCAACGTACATTATGCAGTCTTTAACGTTGCTCGAATTTTTGTTTAGAATCGCATTAACTTCCGCATGACACACTACAATCCAACGTCAACAGATTGATTAGTGCTTTTAATAACAAAATAATCCCAGATGATACAAAGTTCAAAATTAAGATATGAGACGTCTTAGAAATATTTTAAAAACATTTTTGCGAGAACCGTAAAAAATATCTAAAAAATATTGTATGTTCCGATTTTAGACTGTATTGTCTGGGAATTCACTGTTTCATACATATTTTGTTTTAAAAAATTGTTTATTAAATGTATTATACCATAATAACGTTTCGCATCTAAACTCTTGCGGGAACCCCTTTTCCAAGGAAACTCGTCGTCACTGCATCCCGTGGGCATCCCATTATACCCGGTACCGACGATTCTCTTGTCATTATTAACGATACATGCACCGACCTGGGTACAAGGATCTTTACTCCGTTTAGCAGCAAGGAATGCAAAAGCCATGAAATATTCGTCCCAATCGTACGTTGTTTTTTTAGAATTGTCTCTATATTTACATAAAACCAATAATAATCGGGTTCTAAATACACGCATCTAAATATATCTATTCCTATTATTACAGGAATAAATGAGGAGCAGATTTCAAAATGCGTTTTGTCCAAAATTTGTAATTTTCAGAAAACGAGAAAGAAAGAAACTTTGCATATAAGAAAATTACTTTACAGAAAATAACAATATATGCCAATCAGTAGGACGTGAAATATTAAACAAAATTGCTAAACAATTGCTAAAAATGTTAAACAAATGCATTTTGTTTGTCTCTAGTCAAAAAACATAACGCACTTCAAAATGTTTTTTTACCATATAAATTTATTAATCATGAAAAAATGCTTTCTGAATATCTCAGAGTAGTTTATAATTTGAGTTTTTCAACACTGAACACTACGCCATCTCTAACTAAAAAAATGAAATTTTAGACAAAATGCATTTTGAAATTCTGCTCTTCAAATATATTTTTGTAATGAAATAAAAATATACCGTTCATATGATGTCCCAGCCATTGCCAGTTAAGCCTTTGTTTAAATTTCTCACAAGAGCACAGATCAGGTATTAAATATTTTTATATTATTATCTAAATATCGTTAGACAGATGTAACGGGCCTTTGGAAAAAAAACTTAACCAATACGTAGAGAACCAGAACAAAAATATGGAGAATTTCCCTCAATTCTTATCTAAACTGATAGAATTGCACATGAGATGATGAGACATAGGGTGCGGTCCACTTGACGCTACAAACATAGTGTAAGAAACAATAAGTGCATGACCACTGAGCGCTTAGTGAGCTCTTGTATCTGATTGGCATATTCTAGTAGAGCTGAAAATATAGACCAAACAGGTAGAAGAGCTCACTGAGCGCTCAATGAGCAATCGTGTTTCTGTATGCACCTAATGTGTGCTCATTTCTTATCGGACGCATTTTCGTCACGTTCTGCGCAGAGGAAGCGTGACAAGATTACGTTATCTTTAAAACACGACTAGCAGCGCGACGATTAAAAATGACGTGTACAATGGTTGCGTTCGAAAATAAATTTGATTGCTGTTGGGAAAGAAAGTAAAGTTGGCAGTATTAGAAATTAATTATTATTTATCATTATGTCGTTGCGCAGTTTTTTTTACCATATAAAATATCTGAGCAACATTGTAACGATATCATATTTAGGCACTTCGACTGAAATAATCCATAAAACAAAATCGGATTAACTATATTTCAAAAGGATGGTTAATAAGTTCTTCTTCTGAATTGTTTGAAATAGCAAAAGTAATGAACCAAAAATTTCAAAATTATTATGAAAACTTTCTTCAGAAGAGTTCATGGATTTTTAAAATAATTGTAGATAAAGTAAAATAGAAAATAAAAAATATGACAATTCCACAGGAAGTATTATATTATGTTTAGTTCGTACGTGAACATTAGAGTACGAATAACTAATAAACAAATTTCGGCCGAAAAATTAAGAAAGCATGACAGATAAATGTCTAAATTTACAAACCATATAGTTAATACCTTTGACTATAATAAACACATGGACTGTCAGTAGCCAACTTTAAACATGTCGCCAAGCTGGAAGATTAGGCTCCGCTCCGGACAGTAATTTTCTGCGGAAGTGGGGACCTTGGTCAAATTTGACCACGGTATATGCACGTTTACGGTGTGCGACGGTCCATGGTGGAAATATATAAAGTGAAGCCAAAGACATAGAGAATGGACTGCGCGATCCGTATCTAAGTAGTGTATCAAATGTGGTCGACAATAATAAGAGAGAGGGACTGTGGGAGACGGCCAATCTCCCTCTCATTCTCTCTCCCATTACACCATTGAATGGAAAGAGATAGAAATGGCTTTCTGCCACGGTCTCTCTCTCTCTCATCCCTATCGACCATTTTGACACACGGATCGCGCAGTCCATTCTCTATAGCTGCGTTCAGCAGACTCAACAGTTTTGCAACCGTTTTGTGATTCTTCGCTGAGATAGGACTATTCCTTTAAATTTAAAAGTAATGCAATCAGCGCGACGAATCATAAAACGGTTGCAAAATTGCTGAGTCTGCTGAACGCAGCCTATGTCTTTGGGTGAAGCAATCTGATGGATGTGCAGTAGGAAAGTGCATATTCGGACATATTTGATTGGCTATTTCCAGTATTGCTAACATTATTATGCGTATTGTTTCACCTTATATATTTCCACCATGTCAGTAAAGGTCTCTGCCTCCCAAGGAGACTATTCAAAGGATTTTAGAATCCATTAATTTGCATGGTACTGTGACTCTGTACTTGAGTCGGAAAACCAAATAAGAGGAAAACAGAAAAAGAAGAAGAAAAAGAAGAAGAAAAAAAAGAACGGTCAGTAATGGTGCTTACTACAAAAAGCATAGCAACTTTCGCATTTGAATTTGCCGGTCTTTACTGTTCGGGGCGGAGTCTAACAATTTTCAACCAACTTCAGTTCGGCGACACCGAGAGTATGCATTTCCTATAGCAAAAATGAGGGACTAGCAGTCCATATGTTTATAGTCAAAGGTTACTATCAGGTAATTTTAATGTATTTATATTTTTTTACATATGTATTTATTACTTGTTGTATTTATTTATTATCTAGCTGTTATATTTGGCCGTTGACGTTTATGTGAAAATACGCTTACAATAAATATTTATATTTACATTCTTCAAGAACTCGTTCAATGTATTTTAAATACTCATTTAAGTTCTACAAGATGGCGGAAACTTGTCACGCTCTTTTATTGGCTAGTAGAAATCTCTGCGCGTGAGCACACTTCGTTTCTTATACCATGACTACAAATGCTTCGAAACTTTTGATTGACCAATTGGAAAAAAGAACTTTACTAATCAACTTTACTAACCACGTAGCTATAAGGAGAAAGGATATTCCAAAAGATTGAATGCGTTCGAACCGGCAAAGTATAGCTAGTCTGCTCGTTGAGTAAACGTAGCGTGGATAAACATCATTAAAATAATTATCCATATATGCTATGCTAGTTTATATTATGCTTTCGAAATAATATAAACTATAAACTACAATTTTTGTCGCAACAGAAATTATATATTAAAAATTACTATTATTTACTGGGAGCAAAATCTATAAATGACATGTTTAATTCATAATTAACGATGTACGAATTTCCATTTTCTGATAATACTATTATACTTTATGTTTTTGAAAATATTTCTATTATGTAAAAATGGAAACTAATAAAATATAAATATTATTAAATTCATAAAAATAAATCCAAAGGATATTTATGTTAATATTTATTTAAGAAATGCGAACGTAATCTGGAATAAACTACATTAAAAAGCAAAAATAAAAATTAAAAAATACAAATATACTAGTATAAGTTAACAAAATATAGGATGAAGCAGCTAGTAACATTATTCATGTCAACGAACAGGTTAACTACTTTGTTGCGATGTTATGCAGGGTAAATCAGAGTCGTTGAACCAGTTTTTTATCCTATGAGAAAATTATCTCTACGACTATACACGTTATAATCAAATTAGGTACGAAGTCGATAATTTTCTCATAGGGTAAAAAGCTGGTTCAACGATTTTGATTCTCCCTGTATAAACATTATTATCGATAATCCGTAATATCGGGCTCCTAATTTATCTACTGTTTTATTTTATAAAAGATAAATTATTTATCTTTATTTTTTCGAAGAGCTTCCTAATTTTAATTATATCATCAACAAAGTGTGAAAGACAGATTATTTTACAAAAATTTATGTAACAATCAAAATTTGAACGGTCGTACAGTTATAATGTTACCTTCTTAATAATAATATTAAATTCATGAAAATCAGTAAAATAACAGAATAATGTAAGAAACAAAGAAATTGTATTATCTAGAATTACAGGATCTTATCACATTTCCAAGAATTATGATTTTGAAAATTCGAAACTTTATATCTTTGACACCAAGTCACGTCGACCAAACACTCCGAACATTAACAAAGTATCAGGAAAATATAATAATCGGCAAGAAGCTACATTCTTTAAAACGTGAAAAATTTTTCAAAAATTACAAGAAATGTGATTCAAAGAATAAAATTTAAGTTTTATGATTTCACAACAAGTAAACTGTTTTCTATGGAACACTGAAACATGAAAAATTTAAATCCTACAAAAAGGACTAAAATAATATATTGCATAATTTTTTATTCTTAGTTAATAATAATTATCTAAGTTTATATTAATAATTATTAACACAATTTCTTGCTTTGTTATTTTAGTAAGAAAAACATTTAAACAATATAAAATTGTATATAATTAAAACAACTAACCAAAATATTATTTTTATTTCCTATATTTTATATACATGATCTTTATATATACTTATATCAGAAGACTCAATACACGATCGATATATTTTTATATGCAAAAGTCACAGCTTACATCCAAGTTACATCTTGTGTAATGGTAGCTATCGATTAAGTCTTTCGGAATCGGTTGGTTCAGTTGTTGACGAGATTCGGTAATCTGAGATACTCTTAATTAGAGAGACCTTGCTGATATATGTAGCCCGCTATAATATTTGCTGTGCATGACTTGCGTAAGACACGATAGTGTCTCGTGATTCCGTTTCTTACAATTACTTAACCAGTTTCATAATCGCTCTTTAATTTAAAAGATGATTATTAAATTATCCGTCTTTCAAGATAAATTTATCAAAACCTCAGAGAGAGAAAGAAAATATCTCGTATCTTCAAAGGACTTTTCACTCAATATATTGCTTAATGCTTTAAAACTCAAATAACGAATATACATATAAGAAAAATTATAAAAGCTTTAATATTTTAAAATAATTTTTTTAAATCTTCATTTTATAATTAAAACGTTACATTACGTTAAAAATAATTTTGTAAGTAATAATTTTTGTATTATTAGAAGGCAGATTTACAGGGTTGTCACCAATTTCTCCTAAAATTCCATAACTTTTCCTTAATTTCTAGACAAAATTTCTTGATTTTCCCTGACTTTTAATAATATTTTGAAATTTTATGTATTTTTGTCCTGATTTGGAAACCGTTAAATATTTTGTTGAGAAATCAATTTAATATTAACATAGCAATATAAATTACTATTAATGTTGCTGACACTGTTTACACATTTTTAATTGTTAAAACGCTAGTATTCCATAAACTGCGTAGGTGTGATATTAAACTTATATTAAACAAGAATTTTAATTTTCCAGAAAATTTTGCAAAATTCCCTGACTTTTTCCTTATTTTCTTGACAATGCTCTGATTTCTCTGACTTCGAGTTTTGTGGCTACCCTTATTTAAACGTCACGCAAACTCGATTATGCTTGTCGTAGGAGCAGCTTGATACTTGTACAAGGATGGACTTTTGTGTATAAATTAAAATAATTCGGTTAGTTTATCGAGCTTCTGGCGACAAGATATCAACAATAGGAGCATGGTACAATCGATAAAAGCTGTAATAATCTGTGCATGGCAGAGCTTAGGACCGAGTCTTCAGACACGCCAACCGGCAGTTCCTGGTACCAGTTCATCTTAGGTAAATTTTTCAACTTGAATTTCACTTCTCTTCCATGAATTTCAGCGTTTTTTTAGAAACTAAAAGATGACGGTATGCTTAGAACTTAGAACATCTGCCACAAATTAAATAACGTATAATATT